AAAATAAAAAAATAAAATAAAAATCCAGTTCAAAAAAAAAAAAAAGAAACAAAGTTTCCCAGGAGCTGTGCAGTGATTTATATCACAGATCAAACTTTGTCGTAACGCTTTTCTTCCTCATCTTCATGATCCCCCCACTGCTGGGCCCCCTTCCTCACTTGCTAGCCCTTCTTAATCATCCTCCCCGGCTCCTTCTTCCTCCGGTCCCCTCTGATCACACTTATGTGGGTGATCCTACTGGTGATCCTGCTGGCCCTAGAGCTCCCCTCTCCTCACTCACGGACTCCCTCAGGGACCAGAAATCCACAGACACTCAAGTCCCTTCACATCTGCAGGTTCCAACATCCACGGACCAAGAGAGCAACTGCCTACCTTGGAGAGGAAGAAAATGCATCTAGGAAATGGGAAACAGAATTAAACAAGTCAAAAAGAGACTAAATGGTTGGGAGGTTTGGAATGCTCATTAGGGCTCATGAAGCAAGAGCTGAAGCAGTAGTTTCTGATGCCAGTATTTGTGTTTATCTCATTTTTGCTCTAGGAATAATCAAAGTGAACATTTAAAGAGCATTTACATTGTGTCAGGCGGTGTGCTAAAGGATTCATAAGCATCTAATTATGAATAACATGACTCTGCATGACAAATCTTGGATATGTTCTTCATGGCCCTGTTTGGCAGATGATGAAATTGACAGCATCACTGAGTATATTTTAACAGATGCAGAAACAGGCTCTGTACTCCCTGCTCTGTCTTCACACTTTCCCCGCTCCCTCCCCACCCCCGCCAATCTGTGTCCTTTTCTTCACACCAGAACCCCATCATTGGTTTAGGGGTCACACTGAATCAGTCCTATTTCACCTTGAGACTCTTAACTAATTACATCCACAAAGACTCTATTTCCAAATAAGGTCACCCTCTGAGGTCCTGGGTGGACATGGATTGTGGGGACAACACTCAACATATTACAGGCTCCAAACAGCAACAAAGCAAGAGCTCTGAGCATGTTTAAACTATTTCCCACGTGTTTCTCCTTCTTCTTGTCCCTAAAAGGCCACCCTCCCTGTGGTACCTCTTCACGTACCTCTAATGACTACCTTGCCCACAGGGTAAAATCCAGGATCCTCCCCACTCCCCTCCCCACCCCGACTGCCACTGCCAACTCCAGATGCTTCTCCTGGTCTCTGTCCCTGGAGTCTTCTCACCCTCCCCACATCCTCCACCCTGTGCTCCCCGTCAAATGACCCCCCTGAATCTTTACGACCCGGTTGGAATCCCTTAGGAAGCTTTCTCAAATGACCCAGAGGTAAATCCTTGCTGCTCTGAACCCCTTGGGAGATAACTCTTTTCTCTGCTCACAGGCCAACTAATCAGCCCTTCAGACTCCCCTTGATGAAGTCATCACCCACCTCTTGTCTTGTTATCTTTGCGAAGGTAAGCCTTTTCTTCTGCACGAGTCAGGCCTCAAAGACTGGGTTGGTGTCTTTTTCTAGAATCTAGTTTTGTGCCTGGCACCCCCAGGTCTGCAGGAGCTGTCACTGAACCCTTTACTTTCCCACTGCACCAACAGTTCCTGCCAAAAGTTCTCTCTCATCTCACGCGTGGCTGTCTTTCCTGGTCACCTTGGTCCAAAGAGGTGCCTTTCTCCTCCGGGCTCGTGGAGCAGTTAGCTCCAAGGTGGTCCAAGCCAATGGGCCACCTGGTTTCGGGATCCATTGTATGATCACCTGTTGTATATTCAATTTGTCACTCATTCTTGAAGATGCCGGAAGTGCTGTTCAACCAATCACTATTCATTTACTCATTCATTCACAAAGTTTTCGTGACACCCTTGCTCTGCCTGGCTCAGGGCTAGGCTCCATCTTCCTATTCAGGGGGCCAGCAAACTTCCTCATCCTTCTTCCTTCTCCTCCCAGGGACTAACACAGTTCTTCAAGGGTCACACATTCTCAATGGGACAGTGCTATTCAAATCACTTTAACTCATGCTAAAGGACCAGGTCAAGTGAGGGATTAAAAAAATGCTATCAACTTATGCAACTTCCCTGGCAGTCCAGTGGTTAAGAACGTGCCTTCCAATACAGCAGATGAGGGATCGATGCCTGGTCGGGGAACTAAGATCCCACATGCCTCGGGGCAACTAAACTGAAGAGTTGCAACTACTGAACCCACACGCCACAACCAGAGAGAAGCCTGTACACTGCAATGAAGATCCCACATGCCACAGCTAAGGCCTGATGCAACCGTAAATCTATCTATCTATCTATCTATCTATATATATATATATATATAAACACTTCCAACTTAGGACTTCCCTGGCGGCACAGTAGATAAGAATCTGCCTGCCAGTGCAGAGGACATGGGTTCGATCCCTGATCGGGGAAGATTCCACATGCTGCAGGGCAACTAAACCCAGGGGCCACAACCGCTGAATCTGTGTGCCTAGAGCCTGTGCTCCTCAACAAGAGAGACCACCAATCTGAGAAGCCTGAGAGCTGCAACAAAGAGCATCCCATGCTGGTCACAACTAGAGAAAGCCCTTGAAAAGCCACGAAGAGCCAGGGCTCAAACCCCTCTGAGAAGGCAGAAGAGGCCACCAAGCCTGAGCTCTGTGGCCAAGGCCCGAAGTGAAGGGGCGAGCGGAGGAGGAGCCCTTCCCTGGTGGCTGGCGGCCCGGACGGTATACAATCGGCCTGCAGTGTGGGAGACCTGGGTTCGATCCCTGGGTTGGGAAGACCCCCCGGAGGAGGGCATGGTAACCCACTCCAGTATTCTTGCCTGGAGAATCCCCATGGACAGAGGTGCCTGATGGGTCACAGTCCATGGGATCGCAGCGACGAAGCAGCAGGAAAACGAGCCAGGCTTTGAGAAGAGGTTCCCGGCATTCTCTGCACTGGCGGAGGCGGAGGCGGGTGGGGCGTGCAGAGGGTCAGGCTCTGCCTTGAGCGGTCACCATAGTGGTGACGGCTCTGTCCCACCACGGCCTCTGGCCAGCCCCCTGAGAAGTCTTTCAGCGACCAGACAGCAGCTGCCATGTGCTCTTCTAATCAGGACTTCAACGCACAGAGCAGGGCTGTGAACTGGGGAGAAACGGACAGTAGGATTCCTAGGTGGCGCCGAGGTAAAGAATCCGCCTACCAATGCAGAAGATGCAAGAGATGCCCGTTTGATCCCTGGGTCAGGAAGATATCTCGGAGGAGGAAATGGCAACCCACTCCAGTATTCTTGCCTGGGAAACCTCATGGACAGAGCAGCCTGGCAGGCTACAGCCCATAGGGTCACAAAGAGCCAGACACAACTTAGCGACCGAGCCACACATGGCCAAGGCAGGACCCTGTGCACAGTGTATCATGATGTGCACTAAGGCAGGCGCAGAACGCAAACAGCATCCCTCTTCTGATTCCACAATAAGGACCACCGGCCTCTTTCCCTGCACTGGCCAGAAAGCAACATCTATCACCCTCTCCGCTGCATCAAGAGGTCTCAGAATGAACAAATAAAAGCACTGGTTCCAGGTGCTTCTCTGGTGAGTATCTGAAGATGCTCTGGGCAGGGGACAGCACCAGAGGTGGGCGGCTGGGTGGAAGGGGGCCACTCACCAGCGTTGCTCTGCTGCTTCGTGTTTTTGATGTAGGCAGAGAACTTGGCGAAGATGTCGATGCCTGCCGTGTTGGATTCCCGATGTTTCGCAGCCAGTCTGGGGTACCTGGAAGGCAAGATGTGTTCTCAGGTGAGTGAGAACTCGGAGGTCATTTAAGGGAGAGCCTCTTTCAGTCACCTCATGATGAACAACACTCTTGTCTTCAGCAGGATCTATAAGTCTTTTGAGGTTTCTCCAACCTATTCTGTAGGGAGGGTGGGCACTTGTACCCCTAGTTCAACGACAGTGCCAGTGAGTGGGCAAGGCAGTTGTTAGAGGTACGGGAAGAGTCACATAGGGAGGGTGGTCTTTTAGGGACAAGAAAGAGGAAAAGCACATGCAAAACATTTAAACATATTCAGTGATCGTGCCTACTTGCTATTTGGAGCCTGTAATATGTTGAGTGTTATCTCTACAGTCCGTGTCCACCCAGGACCTCAGAATGTGACCTTATTTGGAAATAGAGTCTTTGCAGATGTAATTAGTCAAGAGTCTCCAGGTGAGATAATACTGATTTAGTGTGGTCCCTAAATCCAGTGATTGGTGTCGTCATAAAAAAAAAAAGCAGACACAGACCTGGGGTGGGAGGAGGGGGCATGTGAGACCGAAGGGGGCAAACTTGTTTGTAGCAGAATCCATGGCTTTGACTCCATTGGTGCCATCAAAACAAGCCATTCTGATTTTCAAAAGATATTATTTCACGAGCATTTTACATGAATGGCCAGGCAAGAGTGGACGGAAGTGGGGGAGGGGCAATTGCTTGACCATCATAATCACTAAGTATGTGGACCTTTGTGATCTTTGGGTGAAGAGTGGACTTCCAGCTGTTTGGCTACTTTATGTTTAAAATGCAAAATTCTTTTTTTTTTTTTTGGTTTAATGTTTTAAATAATTTGAAGCAAAACACCTTTAACAAGTATTTGTTTTTCCTTCTTCTTTTTTTTTTTTTAAATTTGAAGCAAAACACCTTTAACAAGTATTTGTTTTTCCTTCTTCTTCTTCTTTTTTTTTTTTTGTTCTTTCACTGACCCATTAGCTAGGGCCACCTACTCCTGGACCATGTTGAGTGACTGTTTAATTTCAGATCCTGCCATTGGACGAGTCTTCCAAAAGTCACTGGGTCCAGCCGTCTGCCCTTGGGCAGATACGAGGCATTATCGCCCTTGTTTTACAGGGAAGCAATTGGAGACCAGAGAAGTTAAATGACCATTTGAGGTCATTTATTATTTGAGGTCATTTGAGGTCATTATTTATTATCATAGATAATAAATGGTGAAGGGGCCATGAGAACCTGGTTTCTGGGCGCTGGAGCAGCGATCCTCTCACTTCCTCTCTTCTCTGATATCTGTAAAAGCTTACTTGTACTGAGTGCCCACTCTGTGCCAGGCACTATTCTAAAGCCTTGCCAGATTTATCATTTATTCCTCACAATTCCACTGTTACTGTCATTAGCTTTCTTTCCCACAGGAGACAAACAAGGTGCAGAGAAGCTAAGTAATTTGTCTAAGCTCAGGAGACCAGGCGTCAGAGGCAAGACTCCAACCCAGGCACTTTCACTTTGGAAGCCCAGCTCTTAAGGTCCGTGTGCTGAGGCCTCTCCTCTGCTGTTTGCCCCCAAGCCACCAAACACTCCTGGAGCTGGGCTGAGCACCATGAAGGAACTGCCGTCAGCCACCAGGGGGCGCTCTGCGCAGGTTCTGCACTCATCTCCCCGAATACACTGGGAATTATCAATTCATCCGCTCTGACTGCAGACACGAAGCGATTGTCCCTACCAAATGCTAGGTAACCTTCCAAGATGAGGGAATTTAGGATTATCCGTCCCTATTTTGGCTTTCCCACATAGAATCTTAAACTGAATGTCTTAAATTATTATCAATACATACAAAGTACTCCTTGTTTTTGCTTGATAAATAATAAAAACAGAAGGGACTAGATAATGCATTTTATATTTGGGTTTGTTGGTTGTTTTTTTCCTGCCATCACTTGATCAGACTTCCACTCATCCAACCATTTCCTCATGACCAGTGTGGGTCAAACATGAGTGGGTGGTACCAAATCCAAGTTGGGTGACAAAGGGCCATGTGTCCAGGGAGAATATGCTAGTTCCATCCTGTGTTCTAAATAGTATGAGAGATTGAGATTTGACTTTATAGCATAATGTCCCACTTGAAGATTGTCCTGGTAGGAACTGTACCTTCAAATATTAACCTCACAGATTTTGGTAACTAGACTTGGGGCAACTACTATTCGGGATGTTAAGTACTTTTATTTTAGCTCCATATTTACACTGTATTTTAAATATGCAGATGAGCAGGTTCCAGGGTACCTTTTGTTTCTCTAAAAGGCTAACAAATAGTGCTTTATCTATAGAAATATCTTTGAAATAAGATTGTAATGTGATCAGGTGACAAAGTGATGGGCAATTTCTCTAACTCAGGGGTGAGCCTGTGGGTCAAATCCAGCCCAACATTTGTTTATGTGGCTCCCAGGAGCTAAAAATAGTTTATACACTTTTAAATGATTGAAAATATCCAAAGAAGGATATTATTTTGTATGTGTGAAAATAATAAGGCATTCCAATTTCAGTATTCACAAATAAAACGCAGCCGCATCCATGTATGTATGTATTGTCAATGGCTGCTTTTGGCTCCCCTGGGGGCTCAGCTGGTAAAGAATCCACCTGCCAATGCAGGAGACTCGGGTTCAATCCCTGGGTCAGGAAGAATTCCCTGGAGAAGGAAATGGCAGCCCATTCCAGTATTCTTTCCAAAAAGGCTGGGCGACCTCACTCATGGAAATTTCTCTCCACTCTGTTTTTAAGATATCTTATTTCCAAAGCATGCATTTTAGATATGCACTTAAGCTTCATTCTGGGAAGTGAAACAGTTGGCCATTCATCAAAACAATTTTTTTTTTTTTTATAAATAGTGGCAAAAGAAAAGATATGATTGCAGATGGAAATGCTCTGATTGGCTGAGAGTTCCAACTGACGTTTTACCATGCCCCTGAACAAAAGAACAGCGTGCAACTAAACCAACATGCAGTCATGCCAGGGGTTAGGCCCTGTCCCTGGCATTGGGGATACATTGGAGAAAAAGAGAAGACAATCATCTCGTCCTCATGGGGTGACCTCTGCGGATTCCAGAGCCTCTCCTGGCAGCGTGAGTGTTGACCTTGCATTTCTTAATGAGCTGAAAACTGGAAGGCTGTCCCCTCTCTCCCTGACCTCAAACTCCATACAGTAAGCCCCCTACATATGAACCTGCCAGTTGCAAACTTTCAAAGATGCAAACCTGTATTCACATATCCAATCATGTAAGTTAGTTCACAGCCATGAAATCAAAAGATGCTTACTCCTTGGAAGGAAAGTTATGACCAACCTAGACAGCATATTGAAAAGCAGAGACATTACTTTGCCAACAAAGGTCTGTCTAGTCAAGGCTATGGTTTTTCCAGTAGTCATGTATGGATGTGAGAGTTGGACTATAAAGAAAGCTGAGCATTGAAGAATTGATGCTTTTGAGCTGTGATGTTGGAGAAGACTCTTGAGAGTCCCTTGGACTGCAAGGAGATCCAACCAGTCCATCCTAAATGGAGATCAGTCCTGGGTATTCATTGGAAGGACTGATGCTGAAGCTGAAACTCCAATACTTTGGCCACCTGATGCGAAGAGCTGACTCATTTGAAAGGACCCTGATGCTGGGAAAGATTGAAGGCAGGAGGAGAAGGGGATGACAGAGGATGAGACGGATGGATGGCATCTCCGACTCAATGGACATGAGTTGGGGTAAACTCCAGGAGTTGATGATGGACAGGGAGGCCTGGCATGCTGCTATCCATGGGGTCGCAAAGAATCGGACACGACTGAGTGACTGAACTGAACTGAAGTTAGTTCACATGTCTGGCACAAATAGTCGGTGCATGCATCCTCTATAAGTAGCTGTGCTTTTGTGTACTTTACAGTAGTGTATAGAGGAGAGTATCTTTATTTAAAGCCCAGAATGTTTGGAAGTAAGCATAAAAGCAGCAGTGATATAGCTGGTACTGCTAGCGAGTGCCAGCTATTGTATTGTACTACTGTACTTTTCAAGGCACTGTATTGTAAGAATAAAGATGTTTCATTATTTTGTATTTGTTTTTTATGCATTATTTGCGTGTAAAGCATTACAGACCTTTTATAGTACAGTACTATATTGCCGATTGTGTCAGTTTCATTCCTAGGCTAACTCTGTCCAACTTACGAACAAATTGGACTTGTGCACAGCACTCCCAGAAAGCAACTTATTCGTATGTAAGGAACCTACTGTACTTTCAACCACTATGCCATCCCATCTTTGGTACTGAGGCTGCTGCTCCACCTCCCAAAGAACCAACAAGAACCTTCGTGATTATCACTACTGTGAAATATCCATAGACATGTCTTAAAATAATGAACTCAAAGTGTGTTCCACTTTGGCTTTGAGCCCTGTTAATACCTGCCTGACAGCTGACTGACTAAATGGCAAGACATGTAACTAGTCCACTAGTTCCCTCTCCTGAATTTTTACCTCTGTTTATTTTAAACAACAACCAGCTCCGGGAAAGTGCTTTGAGAAACTCATGGAATCACAGAACTTCTGCTGAAAGGCATCTTCAGAGATGAGGGAATGGGGATGGTCTGAGAGGGCGCGAGGCTTGCCCAAGGCCATGCAACAAGCACTGTGGAGGAGGGAGGCCAGACTCTGGGGTCCTGACCCTCACTGATGGATCCCGCTAACTCGGGCCATTCCACCAGGAGGAAAGGCAAAGGCCAGCACGTCAACTATAATCCCAACGCTTCCCTGTGGAGCATTAACTGGGTCAGTCTAACCAGGGGGATGGAAGCGAGTCTCATTTAGAAACTACTTGAGACCTCCTGGATTCCTCATTTTGACACCAAATGCTTTGTGGAACCAAATGTAATCTTTTAAAAAGATTGTTGGAGTGTTTGTATGTGGTTTTTTTTTTTTCTTTTTCCTTTAAAACATAAAACTAAGGGGAAAAAGGCTCCCACAAGTTCTTGGCTCTCTGGCAGCTTTAACAAACAGTGGTGTGATGAGAAACACATGCCCACTGCAGCTTGCGGAACAGAAAAGGGGGTTCTGCTGCCCCCTAGAGAACCAGGAGGCTGGCCTGCCCTCCTCCGGGGCCTCGGGACACGGGCCGCCTGAACGACCTCCCAGTTAGAGGCGGTGGGAAGGCAGCCGAGGCGGATGACTTCGCTGCGGGCCGAACAGCCAGTCTCTCCTTGTGCGGCTGAACGACTGGCTTGCTGACATTTCTGGGAGGTAATCAAGACACCTGCCCCAGCCTGACCCGCTCTAAGGCACCGAAGGGACACTCCGGGGGGCTCCGCAATAGTTGATGGTCTCATCCCTAGGACCCACCTGGGTAGCCTCCTGGAGTTGTGCGTTTTAACAGTTTTGAGGTTCCGCTGCCTGGGTTTGGTGGATTATAGGGTCTCTGATATGTCAGGAACGGACTTAGTAAAAAGCTCCTACATACATTGCAGTCTGGAGGCCTGCATCCGGAGGGCCAGATGAAGCAGAACTCAGGAGAGGTGGAGAAGGGAGAGGAGGCAGCATCTATGTCCTGCACTGCTTAGCCCGATTTGGACCATGGAAAACTTCCAGTAGCTGATGATACGGTGATGAATCTGATGACGGCCCTCCTCTGGAAGAATCTGCCTGTACACACAGGCATATGATTCTCGGGGGTTCTCATGGGCCTTTTTGGTCCCATTAGGGATGTAGACTGGAGAGTCCCCCCCAAAGGCACTGCTGGAGGGGGTGGAGGGAGCCTGGCTAAGATGGGCGTGAAGGGTCATCCTTTCCCAGGGGAGACAGTGGACAGTGACAGCAGGAAAAAGACTCCATGGAGGGGTCACAGGGCATGACTGGCAGAGCCAGGGGTGGACCTGAGGCCTCCAGCCTCAGCCCAGCCCTGCACACTTCCATCTACTGGGCTGACTATCCATCCTCCCACTGTTCCAATTCCCCATTCTCTACTGGCCCTGATGGAAGCAGGCACTCCCACAAGCAGGTGTTACTTCTAAAAGGGAAAACACTAACTTCTTGGTGGACATTCCCCTCTGGGTCTCCCGGGCAAAGTCAAAACTCTATGTAGTTACCGAAAATAGCATTTATTTTCTGTTGTTGCATCTCAAACCAGCGCCAGCCATGAGGTTAAGTCCCAAGGGATGGAAGATGGAGCCTGAGCCTCTGGGGGTCCTTTCAGCACAGTGGTTGGCTGGTGTCCCATTCAGAGATGTGTGTGGCTAAGCTGGGTGTTCCAGGTGAGGCTGATGGGCTGATTTAATCAATTCATTTATTTTTCAAGACTTTTGGACTTGAGGCAGCTTTCCATGCTCAGTATGAACATAAACTGTCCTAACGGGGATGACCAAGAATACACTTTCAGGAAGAATGTGCAAATGGTTGAGGCTTAATCAGATCACAATGGTAAAGTGTTAAGTCACTCAGTGGTGTCCAACTCTTTGTAATATCATGGACTGTAGCCTGCCAGGCTCCTCTGTCCATGGGATTCTCCAGGCAAGAACACTAGAGTGGGTTGCCTTTCCTTCTCCAGGGGATCTTCCTGACCCAGGGATCGAACTCAGGTCTCCTGCAGTGCAGGCAAATTCTTTACCATCTGAGCCACTCCTGGAGATCCTCAGTGTGGATGACAAAACACTTTTAGGAAGGATGTACAAATGGCCGAGTCTTGATGAGATCACAATGAGATCACAATAAATTTAACAGTGATTTGACAGATGTGTGACCTTGGGCAAGTTACTTAACCTCTCCAAGCCTCAGCTTCTCCAGCTGCAAAATTAGGATACTGACAGCACTTATCTTTCAGGGCACACCATGTGAGGGCTGTAGCAGCCCCAGTGGCCTAATGGAAAAGGCACTGGCCGTCTAAGCCAGGGATTGTTGGTTCTAGTCCCACCTGGAATGGTATGATACAGGCTTCCCTGGTGGCTCAGATGGTAAAGAATCTGACTGCAGTGCAGGACACCCAGGTCCGCTCCCCGGATCTGGAAGATCCCCTGGAGGAGGGCATGGCTACCCACTCCAGTATTCTTGCCTGGAGAACCCCATGGACAGAGGAGCCTGGCGGGCTACAGTCCATAGGGTAGCACAGAGTCAGACACAACTGAGAGAATGTTTCAGCTTCAAGTGAGGGCTATAACGATATCTGTAAAAAACAAAACTTTAAAATCAACGCAAAACGGTCATCTTTCTTGTCAGGCCACTTATGTCACCTATTAAAGTGAAAGTTGCTCCATCATGTCCAACTCTTTGCGACCCCACAGACTATACAGTCCATGGAGTTCTCCAGGCTAGAATTTCACCTACTAAGTATGTTCTAAAATCCCTCCTGCCTCTCTGCTCCCATCTCACTGTCACCGCCTGAGCCCAGCCTTCTTACCTGTATGTCTTACCTGGTATGTCACCAACTGGCTCATCCTAGTTGATTTCTAGGAGCTTCCATCCTCTGCTCTCCCTATATTCCCCCATCCCCCAAAGAACCTGAAAATGGACTCGACAACACCTTTGCTTAAAGCTTTTCAGGGACAAGCCTGCAGGATTAAGTTTGTGCACGTCTTCCTCTGTGTGTGTTAATAATACTATTGCCCCGGGTTCTCTTTTTTCTAAAGGTGATTGTTTGAATCTCTGATTTCAGTCCAGGTACAGTGCACATGTCTAGTTTCCAGCAGCTTTTAGGATTTCAGGGCTCTTCTCTCCTCTTTCCCATTAGGAGCAACTTACCTTAGCTCTGGTCTCTCCCCTCCCTGACCTCGTTTTCAGAAGTCAAACTGCTTTCAGTCCATTTTTTTTTTCATGTTTAATTATGGGCTCCAACCAGACAGGGTCAGATTTATGGATCTTATTCATACGTTGGTGTGGTTTTAAGTCATGGGATTACCTCTCTCCTGGCTGACTTTTCACTTTACTTTGTCGACCTTTCAAAACTCTTGTTCTGCCATGAAGGAGCCTCTGCCCCACCTCAGGCAGAGGGGCCTGGAGAGAGGACGTGTTTAGGGGGCATCAGCTCTAGGGGGTTGGGCTTTGTAGTGCAGGCTGGGGACGGGCAACCCTCTGGGGGTGAAGAGGGCTGTACGGGACTCTCTCTTTTCAGAGAGAGGCCTGAGCCCTGAGTCAATGAGGCTCTTTTGGAAATCTACTCCTGGGATCTAGAGAAGCACACGGAACCCTCCCTGTCATTAGCGCCAAAAAGAAGCAGCTCATTACTTTTCAGGGGTCAAAGTCTCCTCCAGGAACTCCTCGATCTTATTGACGTCTGTCTTCACATCCCCGTTGAATGTCAGGAAGGGTGGATGGGTACCAGGGGCGAGGTTGTGCAGGTCAGCAGGCTTTCTGCAGAGAGGAGAGAGCAAGGTTCAGGAGGCGGCTTATACCAGGGCACTTCATGGACATGGAGACCTGGGGTGTATCGTTCATTATGTATCGTTTGCAAAAACAAAGCTGGAATGGGACGTAGGGCAGAGAAGGGTGGAGAAGGTTCTGGAAGAATGTGGTGTGATATAGGAAAACCGGCCGATGGCATTCAGTAATAGGAGCAAGACAGGATGGACTTTGAAAAAAGCAGAGCCTGATCACAGGTGACTATCTAAGCTAGAGCCAAGCTTCCAATACCCAGGGCAGAAGTTGGGGTTTGCTTTCAAAAGGTCCTTCACTTATTTGCTTAACAAAAATGTATTAGGCAGAATCCCGAACTTTGAATATTCACGAATTCAGTCATGCTTTTCCACTAAGAAGGATATTCTGTGTTCTTCAAGGTTTGCACAAGAGGAAGGAAGTGACGCTGTGTTTGACATGGGTCCTTATTCAAGGCAGAAGGTGGGAGCGGGGATGGAGCAAAGAGCAGGGAAGAAGGGCCAGCAGATGGATGGAGGACCTGGGGAGACAGAAGACTGCACAGCGGACAGAGGGAGGAGGAGAAATCATGATGGAAACTTCCCGGGGCAGGGCTGGGACATCAGAGTCACCCCAAACCCTCTCTCTGAGAATGCACACTCCTTGTGGGAGGCAGGCGTGGGGGTGGGAACAGTAGAGAGAGGAACCAAGAGAGTAAATAAGGGGGAAGAGGAGTCTGTAACGAAACACATTCCTGGCGTAATCAGCCTGGGAGGGGAAGACAGGAATTTCAATTAAGGTGTCCCTCCCGCGTCCATGCCCAAACACACACTCTCCAGCTGCCTTCTGGGGCACTTGGAACTCCTCAGACAATTGACACTGCAAGCACTTCTAAAATCCAATTTCCTTAGTCCCTGTGTTTACTTCGTATGTGTTTCTCCTTTTAGACAATGGAAGGACATTCTTTACCTTCTCTTCCTGTGTTTTAAAGGCTTCCCTGGTAGCTCATATGAGCTCACCTAAGGCAGAGATGCGCTTCCCAGGTGGCTCAGTGGTAAAGAATCCACCTGCCAATGTAGGAGACTCAAGAGACACAGGTTCAATCCCTGGGTCGGGATGATCCCCTGGAGTAGGAAATGGCAACCCACTCCAGTACTCTTGCCTGGGAAATCCCATGGATAGAGGAGTCTGGAAGACTACAGTCCATGGGGTCACAAAGAGTCAGACATGACTGAGCCTGCATACACACACACACACACACACACAAGGCAATGATGCTTGGGTTCTCAGCAGGGTGGGAAAAATCCATACTGATTTTATATTTCAGCAATGAACTCTCTGTGGCTTAAAGATCCAGAAATTATTTAAGTGTTAGTTGTTCATTTATGTCTGACTCTTTGCAACCTCATGGACTATAGCCTGCCAGGCTCCTCTGTCCATGGGGATTCTCCAGGCAAGAGTACTGGAGTGGGTTGCCATTTCCTCCTTCAGGGGACCTCCTTGACCCAGGGATCGAACCTGGGTCTCCTGCATTGCAGGCAGATTCTTTACCATCTGAGCCACCAGGGAAGCCCTGGTAAAATTAATAAGGATTTTTTTTTTTCTAAGACTCAGCAGAACAATATCCTTTGGAGTCTGGCATCCTTCTGAGGTACTGCCTGCGGTTGCTACGGTCTAATTCACGTTGCCCATGGATATCGGTCAGGGGAGGCCCCATCTCTTTGTTGACTCTCTCAGCAATTAAGAAATTATACAGTTAGAACTTAATTACCTATTGCCAAGTCTAACTTACGGATCATTTAATATACACCAGTCCTCCTTTCCTGACTGGAGGTCAAGATGATGCTAAGAAGAGCTGACACAGGTGGTGTTCTTGCTACCAGCCAGCACAACACTGAATGCAAGTGGTCCATGGCCTGCCTCCGCAGATCCTCACGATAGAAACAAGGCACCACTGCTATGCCCATTGTACCAGTAAGGAAACAGATTCAGGGAAGAGAGGGTAACTTGTTCAAGGATACTCAATTCATGGTGGAGCCAGGATAAGAAATTAGTTTTGCTGGGAATTGCTAAACTTCACTGTATCAAGCATTTAAAAAGTTCCTTAATTCATATATATATATATATATAATTCACATATATATATTTTTTTTCCCAGTAAGAAAGTCTCCTTATCTATAAAACTGGAGTCCTGATACTTAACTGGCCTACTTGAAGGGCGTTGGCAGGACTAGATGTGATAACAGAAAGGAAGGAGCCTCGTAAGGATCTGAGGAATGCTGGGGTGGCTGATCCACAGCCAAACACGAGTCCACGTTCACAGATGATACTCCAAAGACCGCCTCTTCTCCACTAAAGGAAGCCAATCCTCCCAACTGTACGAAAGTCAGCTCTCGCAGATACTGTCTGCATTGCGTGTGTGTGTTCATTCGTTTGACAGAGGTTAGCTGGGTCCCTGAATGAATGAATTAGCTGCTATGATGGATACAAAGAAACTTAAACATGATCTCAACCAGCCCTTGAGGGATTCAAGGTCTCACGTGAATGACAAAACAAACTTCATAACTGATGAGTCCTAAAGAGCACGGTATCTGAACCGAGGAGACAGGGTTTTTGGTGAAAGCCCCTCCAACTCTAGATGGGCACCTTAAACAAGCCATTTAAATGTGTGTCTAGGTTTCCTCTAATAGAACAAAGAAAAAAAATCACACTTCATGTGATTTTTTAATGGGAAAGCAGGCTAATGGTAAAGCACTGGGACTGTAGCTATCATAACCTGGTGAGATGCAAACTGATGGAGCCGGGCAGCAGGGACCATAGATGCTGGGTGAGTCTGGGGGAGAGATATGCCTGAGAGTAGCGGGGTGGGAGGGGCAGGCTTCCCAGGAGAGAGGGCTGATCCTGGGAGTTGGGCACCATCTCTCCACTTGGTTAAAGGATTATTTTAGGGAAAATATCCCAAAGGATTGTTTTAGGAAGAATATACTTATGATAATACAAAGGATGATCAGAGACAGATCAGAGACAGACAGACAGAACCCGGATGGATGAAGACCAGCTTGAAGAACAAAGATGCTGTCTAACCAGTGGTGGGACCTGGACCAAGTATGGGCTTTGAGAATAGACAGGAGGGCTTGGAAGTAAGAAACAGCACAGTGAGAGGGTGCTGGGTTACTGATGGACAATGAGGACAGCAAGAGGAGGAAACCGGAAATGTTTCAGTGCCTAGAAAAACGAAAGAACAAAGGAATTCAGGTGTTTTGGGGAGGGGACTTCAACTCAAAGGGAAAATGAAGGTACAAGTTTCAAAGCAGATATTTTAAAGTGATGATAGAAAATGCAAGTGGAAACAGCAAGAAGAGGGCAGGGGTCTCGGTACAGAATAACTGACATGAAGGTGACAGGGAGAGTGGGCTAAGCTCACGGAGGAGGAAGATGAACACCGGGAGAATGCATTTGAGCCAGTCCCCGTTTAAAGGGGAAGCAGAGGGGAGAGGAGAGAAGCAAGAAGGAGAGAGTGTGGCTCGTGATGGTGAACGATGCTTGAATTTTAAAGTCATTAAAACTGCACTTCAGAAGGAGAATACTAGCAACACTCCATCCCAGTCTCTAATCCAGAGCTCTCACACTAAGGACTTCGAAAGATGGGAACATAGTGGGAGAAATGGTCTGGATCTTAGTTCCTTGGAAACCCAACCTCTCACACCTGGAGTCTAGCTGGGGTCCCCCAGGATGAGGGCATTAGTATGATGGGAACGGCTCACTCTGGATTTTCAGATGTCCATCTGAAAATCTCTGTGCCAGACACTCAGTCACGATACCCAGTGCCCAGTCTCTCCCTCTTCCTTGCAAATTGGGACTTGCTCTGTCCCAAGGGTGATGCTTGTTTTCCCAGCCTCCCTTTTAACTAGGGGTCTGGCCAAAGAGGTGTGAGCAGGAGGCAGCTAGAAAGTTTTCACCCTCCTTCATGGATGATCCTCTGTTCCTACAGCGAAACCTACTGCTCACGAATGCACCGTCCTTTACCTTTTCAGATCCACCGTGGTGACATTGAACACAACTCCTTTCAGCCAGAGGATCATAAAGAGGCGCTGAGAGAAGGGACAGTTGCCAATGCTTTCCCCATCGATTCCAGCCTAGAAAGAAAAGCACAAGAGTCCTGAGTTGACTTGTGCACATTAGCAAGAAGGCATATAGCATTCTAACAGCTAGATGCCAGTTTGAGCAGAACTAAGTCCATGCTCCAGCCTTCCTTTAAAGTTGACTTTTAATATTTATCATTGTCTTCCTAATGTAGGGTGACACTTGGCACAGGGTAAGGGCTCAATAAACCCTGTGGGACTGAACGTGAGTTTCCAGCATGGTGATTATGCAGGCTCATAACTTTCTGAAACCATTGAACCCTAGCATCTCAGAGTAAAAAGAGACCTTTAACATCACAGGAAAAGTGTTGTGAAAAGTGTTAGTTGCCCAGTCATGTCTGACTCTTTGAGACCCATGGACTGTAGCCTGCCAGGCTGCTCTGTCCATCCATGGAATTCTCCAGGCAAGAATATTGGAGTGGGTTGCCATTCCCTTCTCTGGAGGATCTTCTCGATCCAGGGATTGAAGTCGAGTCTTCCACATTGCAGGCAGATTCTTTACCATCTGAGCCACCAGGACACCCCTTAATATCACATAATCTGATACCAAGAATGTTGGACCAACTTCTATACTTCTGAGTAATCATCTTATCTATACTTGAATAGTTCCACTCACCAGCAATTTATATCTCTCAAACTAGTCCATTCTGAGGACAGTTCTAACCATCAGAAATGTTTTCCTTCTGTTATATTAATAACCTCGCCAAAGTATGTTCCTCTATAGTTTATCCTCTACCCTTTGGTCCTTGCTCCATGAGGATGTCATGAGTATAGATCCTCAGATTTTGACCTCTTTCTATCTAATCTGCAGGCTCAAGATTTTAATCAATGTTCCACTTACTTCTGACTACTACTTGACCTTGTGTCAATAAGCTACTCATTTGTTAAATTATTCTCTTGAACAGTGAATACATATTGATCATGTGCAAATCACTGTACAAAGGGGATTCAAAACAGCATTTACTCAGGAGCTTAGGACCCTCTGAGGTGTGGACTAGGGGATGAGACAGGTACACACAGATAATCATGGCAGACAGCATTAGTGAGGACCTGTGTACTCCCGCTCCCCAACTTTCCCCTTCTCAGTACCCTCCTCAAAACAGAATTTTTTTCTCTGAAAGGCAAGCCCACTTTTACCTCTGAGTGGGCTGCAGAGATGTGAATTTTATAGAGTATATTTTCAGCAAACACAGGAAGAAAAAGGTTGGAGAACTGATTTCTGTGTGATTTATTTCCACTGAATGGTTTATTGGCTCCAAAATGGTACCTAGAGGGAGAAATCACCTACTCACTCTGTTTGGGGTTTCCCTGGTGGCTCAGTTGGTAAAGAATCTGCCTGCAATGCAGGAGACCCAGGTTCAGTCCCTGGGTTGAGAAGATCCCCTGGAGAAGGAAATGGCAACCCACTCCAGAATTCTTGCCTGGAGAATTCCATGGACAGAGAAGCCTGTTTTACTGGCCCCAAAATGGTACTTGGAGGGAGAAATCACCCATTCACTCTGGTTTTTGTTGTTGTTGCTTTAGGGGTTTGTTGTTGTTGTTGTTGTTGTTGCAGACGTCTTTGTTTGTTTCAGCTTCGAGGGATGTGGGATCTCAGTTCCCTGACCAGGGATCGAACCTGTGCCTCCTGCGGTGGAAGCTCAGCCTTAACCTCCGGACTGCCAGGGAAGTCCCACCCACTCACTCTAGTTTGCCCTTGGCTACCCTGGCAACTGTGGCCTCATCAGGACCAGGCTCCACCCACAAGGAGGATGTCTGGAGGAAAGTTGAAAAGTTGACAACAATCCAACCAACATCCTGGAATGAAGGCTTACTAAGACTTCTTTTCTTTCTTTCTTTTTTTGAAAAGAGAAGGAGAAAAAAACTGCCCTCCAAGCTCAGCACCTTATTTTTCCCCTGCAGCTTTGTTTGCTGGGGGGTTGGGGGGGAGCAGATGTCTTCTTTCATCAGCCTCAGGCTGTGCTTATTTCTACCTGGCCCATCATCCCCAGCAGGGGTTCAGGTTTATAATGGAAAACTGGTGCCCTTGCTGGTGTTTCTTGTAGGTAACTGCTATGAAATTACAGTTATTTCACCTTTCTCTTAACTCTACCCCGAACCCCATCCTTATTCAGTTCTCACTTTCCTTAGTGCTGGAAACAGACCCACTCTGAGGGTTTCAGAGACCACAGGCTTGGTTATAGAAAATCAGAAAGGTGGAGGGCATAGGGCAGGCGCCACCCTGATCACAGGGCTAACGTTACTGATAAAGCCACACTCAGACAGGCAACTATGGATTTAATAATGACTGGTGCAAAACTTGAGTTGATGACATCAGTTCCCTAAAAGTACCCATTTGACAGGTTCTTAGTCCCTTAAAACATCCTGACAAAGGAATTTTTCCCCAGGGTCGGTTATGATGTAAGTGACAAGCTGAGAATTCAAAAACAAAAGCCACACACTCTTATCTGTTTTTACCTCTGGTGGTGAGGGTGGAGTGGGGATACTCATAAGAGAATCGAAGCAGGAACTACAGAAATATTGGCATTCTTATTAGCTGGACCCAAAATTCATACAATAATGTTAATAATACCAATGAATATCTATATTGTCAGGCAATGTTCTAAGGGCTTTTCATATATTGCCTTTTATTTAATTGCATTATCATGAATAACAAGCTCTCTGTTCAATTCAAACCTTTTATTTTTATTTATTTATTTTTGGTCGCATCACCTGGCATGTGGGATTAGTTTCCCAACCAGGGATTGAATCTGAAGCCCCTGGATTGGAAGCACAGAGTCTTAACCACTAGACTGCCAGGCAACTCCTGCTTTACATAACATTATTAATGTATTTCTTCCTCACGTGAAACCTGTGTAGTGAGATAGTGTTGTCCTTTTACAGACATGGGAGCTGAGGGGGAATTACAGAGAGGGGACGTCACTGGCCTGAGAGTCCCTAGGATGAACCCAGGCAATCTGGTTCCAGACCCAGAGCTCTTACCCGCCATGCGTGGATCCATCCCGAGAACCCAGCCCAGACAGGCAGCACGGTCACCCAAAGTCATGGAGCAGGAGGTGAGGGAGCTGGGGATGTCTGATACATCCCAGACTGCAGTCAATACGCCACAGCTCTGCGGGCTGAAGAGGCTGGTGGCAGTCACAGTTCCCCCCATGTCCACTACTGTCTTGTTAGGATTCTAGATGCAGTAAACAAAAATTGCCAAAAGACCAAGAGAAACAAGACACAAGGGGTCTGTCTTACTGTCTCTGCACCTCTCTTTCAGCTTCACTGTCCCTTCCCTTCTCTTGTGCTGGGAACACTTAACATGAGATCTACCCTCTTAAGACATGTTTCAGGGTGCAAGGCAGTACTGTCGACTATCCAGCGCTGTAAGCGGCTCTCCAGCGCTTACTCACTTTGCTCAAATGAAACTGTATTTCTGTTATTAGGAACTCCCCACTTTCCCCTCTCCTTGACCCTGGCAACCACTTTTCCACTTTTTGATATTATGACTTTCACTATTTTACTTACTTCATATAAGTAGGATCATGCAGTATTTGTCTTTCTGTGATCAGTTTAATTCATTCACCATAACGTCCTTGAGATTCATCCATGCTGTTACACATTTTAGAATTTCCTTCTTTTTTAAGACTGCATAATATTGGAAACAGTGGCTGACTTTATTTTTCTGGGCTCCAAAATCACTGCGGATGGTGATTGCAGCCATGAAATTAAAAGACGCTTGCTCCTTGAAAGGAAAGTTATGACCAACCTAGATAGCATATTAAAAAGCAGAGACATTACTTGGCCAACAAAGGTCTGTCTAGTTAAGGCTATGGCTTTTCCAGTAGTCATGTATGGATGTGAGAGTTGGACTATAAAGAAAGCTGAGTGCAGAAGAACTGATGCTTTTGAACTGTGGTATTGGAGAAGACTCTTTGAGAGTCCCTTGGACTGCAAGGAGATCCAGCCAGACCATCCTAAAGGAAACCAGTACTGAATACTCATTGGAAGGACTGATGCTGAAGCTGAAACTCCAATACTTTGGCCACCTGATGCGAAGAGTTGACTCATTGGAAAAGACCCTGATGCTGGGAAAGGTTGAAGGTGGGGAAGAGAAGGGGACGACAGAAGATGAGATGGTTGGATGGCATCACTGACTCAATGGACATGAGTTTGAGTAAAGTCCGGGAGTTGGTNAGAGGATGAGATGGCTGGATGGCATCACCGACACAATGGACATGGGTTTGGGTGGACTCCAGGAGTTGGTGATGGACAGGGAGGCCTGGGGTGTTGTGGTTCATGGGGTCACAAAGAGTCGGACACGACTGAGTGACTGAACTGAACTGAATATTCCACTGTGTGTACACATCAGTTTTTTTATCCATGCCTCTATCAAAGGACATTTAGGCTATTTTCATACCTCGGCTATTTAAATACTGCTAGAGCTTCCCTGGTAGCTCAGACGGTAAAGCGTCTGCCTACAATGCGGCAGACCCGGGTTCGATCCCTGAGTCAGGAAGATCCCCTGGAGAAGGAAATGGCAACCCAGTCCAGTATTCATGCCCGGAAAATCCCATGGACCAAGGAGCCTGGGGGGCTACAGTCCATGGGGTCGCAAAGAGTCAGACACAACTGAGCGACTTCAGCTCAGCTTCAGCTCAGCTCATAATGAACACAGGGCTTCCCAGGTAGCACTAGTGGTAAAGAACTCCCCTGCCAATGCAGAAGACATAAGAGACATGGGTTTGAGGCTCTAGGTCAGGAAGATCCCCTGGAGAAGGGTATGGCAACCCACCCCAGTATTCCTGCCTGGAGAATCCCAAGGACAGAGGAGCCTGGCAGGCTACAGTCCACAGGGCCACAAACTGTTGGACACAACTGAAGCAACTTAGGACACACGCAGGCATAATGAACACAGGATTGCTAATATCTCTCTCAGATTCTGATTTCAATTATTTTAGCTGACTTCCCAGAAGTCGGATTGCTGGATCATATGGTAGTTCTATTTT